GTAAATGATACGTTCTAGAATCTTGGAGAAAACAAAGACTACTGAGATAGGTGTGTAATTGCTAACTTGTTCCTTTACTCCACTTTTGGAGAAAAAAATTGGGTTATTCTTGCTAATTTCATTTTATCTGGGAATTTACCGGCACTAAGTGATAAATTAAATACATAGCATAGTGGTTTACATATTGGGTCAATAACAGCTTTAATAATTTACTACAATTTACTATATTGCAAATGAATTAAGAGGTGGCGCTATTCGAAGACAGTTCACAGAGCCATTGATAACTACCTCTGATAACACCCATGAAGAGGTATTGCTGACTTTAATAATGTAATGTGTAGAGAGCACCGAGTTGGTCACACTATAATAATAATAATATTCCGCTTTTATGTAGCTCTTAATGAAACTATCTCTAAGCGCTTTACAGATATACTATTACCCGGTCATTGGATTGAATACGTGCCCGCATGCAAGTGTGTGCGTACAATTCATACAATTACAGTGGTCTGAGCGTGGCAGACAAGCAACGCACATTCTGATTTTACAGAAGAGAAGCGATAATTTTTTCCAGTCTCCTGGCACATTTGGAATGAAATTTGTCGGTGAACCAGGCGCGGATCCAGGGGGGAGGCCGAGCGGGTCTCCCCCTTCCCTCTCTGCAAAAAGAGAGAGAGAGAGAGAGAGAGAGAGAGAGAAGGAAAAGAAGGGAAAGGGAAAGAGGAGAGAAAGGGAAAGAAAGAAGACAAAGAAGAAAAGAAATGGGGGAAAAAAAGGAGATGGGGGGGGGGGGGGTGGTCGAAAGGGCCTTGCCTCCCCCTCCTATCAAAGAATAAGAGAGAAGAAAGAAAAGGAAAAAATAGATAAAGGGAAGACAAAAAGAGGAAGAAAAAATGAAAAGGAGGGGGATATCAGTTGCAATTTTCCGGCCAACAAGTTGTGGATCGGGAGGGGCAAAAGGTCCTTGCCTCCCCCTCCCCCCCCCCCCCCCCCCCCCCGTCACCGCCAAAAAAAAAAAGTCGATAATGATGGGTGTATCAGCCCGGTACCTTAATCTAAGCTATGCCCTTATAAACTCAGATTTCATTTTCCGAGTAAGACCAGTCCGCCCCCTCATCGTTCCAGCGCCCCCTTAATCTTTAGAGTCGGGCTATGCCACCGCTCCTACCCCTGCCCTTAAACCTTCCCAAGATGGAGCAACCCCCCCCCCCCCTCCGCCATCGTCTCCGTTGGCAGATCGCTGAGTCTTCGCCGTGGTGAATGGGTCTGTGTTGTCTTTTGCCATTTGCTTTCTTTGTGGACTCGAGAATCAACGCCATATCGCTCTGTATACTGTGTATAAACTGTATTATACGATATAACGTTTCGTCTGTCACGATTTCAGTCTGGCAAAGACAAGAGCACACCTATCATAAACATAACTTCTAAGCCATAGCAGACAGTAGTACTACCAGTTCAGGTATGTTGATTTGTATTGATAATAGCAAATAGCGAAAATTTGTAATTATTAATCATCGATTACTTGTATATTTATGTCCCTGAATATTGGACATCTCTTCAAAATCACCGGACTGTTGATCACTTATGGTGTTGGGTTTTAGTCACGCCGCGGCGGTAATTTTCTTTGGCAATACATTAATTAATTATTAATGAAAATTTGCCATACTCGACCAAAGTGATTTAAATGGGTACTTGGCAGGAATTGAATCCTCGAAAATTATAGGGCGGCGTAATAGCAGTCATGTTAAAGCGAGAGTAATACGTGTGTAGCGTCAGGGGAGTCAAGTCGGACAAACCTAACCTATATAATAAGAACCCACTATTGTCATTAATAGTATTACTTATTTATGAGTATCATTACTACAACATGTATTAGTATTATTATGATTATGGTTATCATTATCATCGTTATTATTGTTGTTATTATCAAACCAGGCAGGATGACAAATTTGATGGAGATGAAGTTGAACAAGATAGGGGACGCTGTGGGTGACGACGAGAATCTTGCGGCTCTGGGATTACGTCTTGGTTTTCAACAATCCAAGGTGAACTTGTTTCTTGCTACAAATCGAGTTGATGGCAAAGTATCTTCAAAAGGCACCAAGAATATGCTATCTGCATGGAGCAAAAAGACTCCCGGCAAGGACCAGGTGAGGGAGCTCAGTGATGCCTTGGCGGATGTCGAATTGGGGCATATTGCTGAAGAATACCTACAGTGATTTTCCAGGGATACTCTTAGAGGACGAGTTGATGTCACTGAAATGTAACAATTATTGGTTGATTTCTTATAATTTTGGCAGTTTTTTTTATTGTTCTTCGAAGCTACCGAAGTTTCATGTCAAATAAATATACTGGTATCACTGAAAGGCATAGTTGATTACATTATTTTAAAGGCCCTCTGTACTAATTGTAGCTAATTGCTCCCTCTATATAGAAAACTTCCACAATCGGTGCCTGTTGGTCCCCCATGATCCTCTATTTCTTATGTTATTTGAGAGCTGTCAGTGCCCTCGCTGTGTGGTCTAATCCCTCCTGGCCAAACTAGTGCAGATAAGCTTTAACTGACGAATACCTTTGAAGAATTCTCAAATCTTTTAAATGGCGGTTTCCATTGCTCCTGATGTCACAATTTCATTATGCCATTTGAGAAGAATCGATGAACATAATTCCACCTTTTAAATAGAAAGATATTTCATCTCTTGGACAACTTTTCGTATGGAAGTCATAAAAGGGTCTAATAAATTGATTTGTTTGGCTAGGCCTGAATATTGGAAATATTAAAAAATCTTAGTTACATTCTATTTGTCGAGTTAGGCTCAGAATGTTCACCATTTTCGCTGAAGGTTTCCCAAATCTGGAAGCTATCAAACATGCAAATTCTTTTTCCCCCATGGTAATTTGTATATGTATATGTTTTTTAATAAAAATAAATAAATAAATATGTAAATCTAAAATAAATTTGATTACCAATCATAGCTAGGTTCAATTCAATTTTTCAATTCAAAAGACTTTAAAAACCGTTAAAAAACATACAAATATATACATGTGATAAAGTACAGACATTTTAAAATATACAAATCATGAGCATTGTGTTTAAATTAATTAAAAAAACTGTGAAAATGAGTAGAAGAAAAAGGGAGCACCTGTAGGAAGCTTATGTTAGCTTGTTGATTCAGATGTCCAAATGAATAAAATAATTACACAGATATAATAACATAATAATGAGTATTGCGCATGTATTTGTTCTACGCCTCTCTCCCTCCCCACCCCCACCATCCCCCCCACCACTTCCCCTCCCCCTTCTTTCTCTCTTATGGTAATTTACAAATTATATATTATTTTAAAATAGGTATTTAACTATAAAAACAAATTAAAGGGATAAAAGATATATTTTAAGATTTTTCTTGAATGAGTTTAAGTAAACATATTGAGTGAGAGAGGATGGAAGAGAATTCCATACTGTGGGCCCTGTATACCTTACCGATTGTTGCATGTACTGTTTATCAATATTCCAAATGTGTAACTTTAGACTATTTCGAGTATTATATTTATGAATTTTAGAGTTAGTTTGGAACATAGTGGCAAAAGATGATGGTGCATTATCTTGAATACATTTGAATACAAACACAGCATTTTGATATTTATTTAGGCTATAAATATTGAGGGTATTTAACTGTCTAAATAAAGGTTTAGAATGGGCCAAATAATGAGAGTTTGTACAATATTGTAGACAACGCTTCTGAAGTAAAAATAAGGGTTTCAACTTAGAATGACTTGTATTTGCCCACACGATGTTATATGACAAATAAGAGAGAATGAGTGAATTATAAATCATAAACAATACATTTCCAGGTAAATAATACTTCAGCTTTGACAATAATCCTGTAGTTTGACTAATCTTTGTAGAGATCATGGCAATATGGGATTTCCAAGACAATGTTTCATCTATGAGAATACCTAAAAATTGATTATTTGAGACTTTTTCAATAATTGTTTGATCAATATATAATGGTGGAACTTGATTTTTCAATTCTCTTTTGTTGCACTGAGCTGTTCTAAAAAGAATACATTTGGTTTTGTCTAAATTAAGCGATAGTTTATTTACCTTTAACCACAGAGATACATTCTTCATGTGTTCATTAAACTGGTCTATCAGTGAGTATTAGTTATTATGGCTTAAGAGCAAAGAAGTGTCATCAGCAAATTGTACAAATTTTAAGGAATGAGAAGAGTTGCATATGTCATTTATATATAAAAGGAAAAATAGGGGGCCTAAATTTGACCCTTGAGGAATTCCAGATTTAATCAGTAATTTGGTAGAACTGTATCCATTATATTCAGTAAATTGGTACCTTTGTGAAAAATAACTCTTAATCCAATTCAATGCAATACCTCTGATACCATAATTAACTAATTTCTTAAAGAGAATGGAAAAATCAATGGTATCAAACGCCTTACTCAGGTCCATAAAGACACCAAATATAAACTGTTTTGAATACAAGGGATTAACAATGATATCATGAACAGATATTAAAGCATGGTCAGTAGAATAATGGGTTCGAAATCCAAATTGATTATCATGTAATATATGGTGTTTAGATACAAAATTGTATATACGATCATAGACTAATCTCTCCATGATTTTTGAGAAGCATGACAAAAGTGATATAGGACGATGGCTTGTGATTGTTGATAAGGAAAATGAAACCACAACTCATCTTTTTGTTTATAAGTTACTTGTTACTAAGTAATGGTATTGTATGGTATTTCTTTTCCAGATCACAATATAAAAAAAAATATCAACAATATAAAAAAGTTCATGTTCATATAAAATTGAGAATATAGTGAGTGGCTAGATAGCCTACACAGCTTTTTAATACGACAACATTGTCGAGAAAATTAAATGAACTTACAATAAATAAAAACAAGAAACATATTATTCATAGTCGTAAAATTGATGACATCTAGAAAACAAAAGACACTTCTAAAACTGTTATTGACAGGTGGTAAATGTAAATTATGCCAGGAATCTTCCACGAGCTTTAATCAATCTTGTGTACTTTATACGCTAAGTTATCATACATGTATGTATCGAACCTGTATGCATTTATTCAGCTGTATGTCTAATTTGAATGAAATATACAGACCCATTGCACAAAAAACTTAACTTGCTTTGTTTGCCTTTATTCATGGCCGTTTCTTCGTCTCATGTATAATTTTGCACATAACAAAAGACCCAAATTGACGCCAAAATTCATGTTTTGATTAGCTCCATGTTAAACCCTTTAACAGTTCGATCATCTGAAAGTCTTTGGTATATCTATTCCATGATTAATACAATAATGCACAGTGAGATTATTATGTGGCATAAAAGAGACTGAATTCTACGATAAACATTAAAAAAATCCTCATTTACATGCAATTTATCACAATTGAAATTGTATGTTGAAAAAAAGCGAATTGGACTTGGAATGCGTTAGTTGAGTGGCTTCGGTAATGAACTGAAGTCAATCATATTTATACATATTCTGTTATTGAACGATCTATCCCTAGCTTCTTGTTGAGTCAAACTGTTTATGCATATATCATACTTAGCCTGACTGCTAACCCTACGGTTTCTACAAGATCAACAACCCAACAGATAAAAAGAATAACACACACACACACACACACACACTCACATACACGCGCGCGCACACGTATTTATTTTTTTATTGTGTTTGTGTGTGTGTGTGTGTGTATGTGGGATAGGAACTCTGATATGAAATCGCGTGCGGACTTCTCGATTTGCACTAGCATTACTGGACTTCTACGTTTGTGGTCGTTTTTTTGAAGCAGGGTGGCATGCGCTCTGCTCAGAAAACACCGCATACGTCGCTGTGCACTGGTGAACATGCAACTCGAAAAGTCCCTACCAGCATATCTACCAGACTAGCAATCATGAGACAAAGAGCTAAAAATGATACGATAAAATTAACATAATTTATTAATATATATTCTCAATTACATACAACTTCCCTGTACATGTTTCGGTTTTGATACGTATTTCCTAAACACGATAGATGCGGGTACTTGGCCTTTTGTATGACTAATACAAAATATCTCGCATAATGAAGCCTCCGATTCCTCATTTTGAAGATAGTTGATTACACATTTGCAGGATCTCATTAATCAGAATAATGTCTTGTTTGTTTTTTATAATTTATGACAAAAACCTTGCTTTCTGCAATAAGAAATGACATATTAAACATAATCGATATAATATAAGGACCGTTCGATGATGTATCAACAGACACTACCATGCTGTCGTATCTTTCCAATGTTATTCATTCGACATGTAATAGAATTTGAATCTCATTTATTGGGGAGGAAGAAGAAGAAATGTTAAGCTGCAATGACATTTAGGAGGTTTTAAATGTTTTACTTTTTTAATTTAGCGAGATATTTTCATTTGATTAACAAGTGAACCTCATCTGGAATACACGTTACTGCATTTTCTATAATGATTGAATCGAGTCCGCTTCTGAACAAACATAATAGCTAGCCATCTGCGCAATGGCGGCATGCATGGCGGGGAAATAATTCTTTGTGATACCATGGTCTCCGTATGCCGAAAGCATCAAATTAATCAGTAAGAGAAAGGGACCCTGCTCATTATTAGCCACGTACAATATACAGTGTGTCCCAGAAAAAAACGAAACCGAGAGTTATCGATGGTTTATCATAACTTAATCACAATTATGATTAATAAATGACACATATTTGTAAAGCTTAGATCCTCCTCTTTTATTTCAAGCAACTGATATGATGCATTTTTCAGGTATGAGTGATTAAAAAAAAATTGTAGAAAGGGTACCAAAAAGTCATTTGGCAAACGGTATCTGGATTTCAAAGGGAAAGTCACATTTCTAGACAGTTCATGTTTTGCCCTTTCATATGACATCTCAACCGGGCAAAATGAGCCAGGAATAACAAAAATCTAAATGTTTGAAGTAATGCTTGCATTTCCCTTATTTTAGTAAACGAAATCGTTTTCACTAGCTGCCTGCAGTACCGTGTGAGTAAAAAAATGTTTACACCTAGAAAATTCCTAATTATTAAAAAAAAAAAAAATTATGAAGAGTAACTTATCATACATCTTATGAAAGAGTGTTTTATCCCAAATCATTTGGTATCATTTTTGTGAGGTATGTGTTCACGCTTGGATGAACAGAAAGCATTGTTTGCGAGAGTGCAAAAATCGACTTGCGCCAAAGTGATGCCTCAGTACAATATGTATTATGTTGAGATTAGCAGAGTGAGAAAATGAATTGAATGTACCAAATGAGATACATTGCATTCGCTTTTTGCAGAAGCAAAGTCACACACACACACACACACACACGGACGCGATAAAGACACGCATACGCGCGCGTGTGTGTGTGTGTGTCTCTCTCTCTCTCTCTCTTTTTTTCTCTCTCTTTCTGTCTCTTTCTGTCTCTCTATCTCTCTCTCTCTCTCTTTCTCTCTCTTTCTGTCTCTCTCTCTCTCTCTCTCTATCTCTCTCTCTCTCTCTCTCTCTACTAGGGCAGTGTCAGTGCAAATGTGAACTGCATGGACACAATTACTATTTGGTGTTCATCCGTCGCTTTAATCTCAAACCACCCATGTCATTGAAATTCAGACAATAGAGTAACTCGTACTTTACCCTACATAACCGCTAACTGTGAACAGATATTAGTCACATCGATGTTCCTGGTTCAAATAGAAGGCATTCCCTTTTCGAAGTAGTTCATAGGCCCCTAACTAAATACGTTCATGCAATTGCAATCCCATGTGATTCATATGGATGCGTGCATTATTACCACTGAACAAACGCAAACAATTCGGGTACATTTAGGGTCCACATACTATATCCAGATACAGATTTTTGTTTTAAACTTCCCGTTATGTTTATATTTAAGCGATGAATGAAACTACATAGTCTTTATTGTTATTGAAATCCGTTTAGGCCTATTCTGTTTTACAAAACAGCTTGTTTATACTTTGATGGGAATTTTTGATATTGTAATTAAATCATTTTGGATTAGAGACATTTCAACTTTCTCTAAAAATAGATATCTGTTCGTACCATGTAAACAATAATTGTCTTAAAAGGAAACCTCACCCCGAAGAATAAGTGTAGGTATTCTGAAAAATGAGATATAATTCCTGCCCTTTGATGTACAATATTCCCTACGGAAATGAACAAGAGATATATAGATGACGATGTGATGCCTTTTAGCATGGCATGGGTACAGTCATTTTCTTGAACATGTGACGTACCAGTTGAAGTTATACATGTATTGTGCACCAAGCGTTAGTTGGAAAGACTTTTTTTTAATCAGTAACAAAACCTTTACTTTTCAATGATGAAAAATCATAGCTGAAAATATAGAAATTATAATTGGTTAAAAGGATATAACAGGGAAACAATACTTTAGTATACTATAGCAGTTGTCAAATATATTTCATAAATGAGAAACATTCACCCCAGCTTGATAGTTGTGGTAGCGGTCGACTAAATAGTTAGCTTCACCGACTTATTAGTGCAATTTGCGTTCTGGAAATTTTAGTACATTTAATGTAATAACAGGTGAATAAAATGCTTCATCAACGCACACACCTGGGAAAGAATCATCTATAAATTTTAATACATTTATTTGATAAAAAACTTCACATAGTACGTCACATTATCAGGAAAATGGCGATGCCCATGGCGTGCTGAGAAACTGTACATTATTCTTGCTTTATGCCTCTCTCATACACTTTGATGGGGAATCTTGTAGATAAATGGGCAAGATTATACTAAATCTCTATTAATGAATAAAGTTATTTTTGGGTGAGGTTTAGTATATTCTTAAAATGATCATGAAGTACCTCAAAATGAATTAAAAAAAAAAAAAATCTTTGATTGACCGGTATTACCATACTCATTTTCCCCAATAGACTGTAGTGTTATGAAAACCGTTAGGAAAACGATTTTTTGAATTTCGATTTCGTATCTTGAAAATCAGACAGGCGATCGGCTTGTAAAAGTCATGGGTTCCTTACTGACTAAAAGGTTATAATTATCATTGCAACATGAGCTAAATCCAGGATTATTTTGAGAATCTGAGAAAAAGTTTCCCAATCCTTTTAAGTGGCCTACAAACTGAAATTAACATGTAGTTTGAGATTAGCATCAGGACCTACAGCTCAAACATAACCAAGATAACAAATTTCATACCGTATCTGGAGTACCGCCTGGACATCGATCCCCGGATAACCACCCCCCCCCCATCATTTCAGTGCCCATAAATCTATGAACTCGGGCTGCGCCACTGCTCATATCCCCAGGCTTTAAACCCTATGTTAACTGGGGGGGGGGGGGGCAATTTGACCCCCCTGTAGTAATTTAGAGACTAGTCCGGAGCCGCGGCAGATATTAAGTTTTCCTTTCGTGACTTTTTTCTTTCGAGTCTTACGCATCTTTTAAAACATTTTTTTTTTTTAAATCGGACGTATAGTTACAAAGTCACGTGATCTTTTGTGTTTGCATGTCAGCCCGAAAATCGCTCATTTGATGTGATTTGTGTACAAAACATATAGAAATATCATTTTTCCTAAAAAGAGATAAACATTGGTTATTTGATCTTGTTTGGAGTTTAGGTGGTTGCTTTTGGGCCAAAATAGTTTAATTTTAGTTAGAAATGAAATATAAAAAAATACATAACTTTAAAAAAAACAATGAAATACTTAAGAAATTATATAAACTAAAATAAGGAATAACCTGGCTCTTCCAATTTTTGTTGTCGTATTCTTATTCCAAATGGTCTAACAAATATATGTAGTGAAAAAGAATGCTTAAATATGAATTGTATATATGGGTAAAAATTATAATGTTGTGACCTTATTTGCATAAATTACCATAAATATGCAAATGAGTGATTTTTTTCAAAAAAATTGAAACTACCATAGTATTCTATACATTTCACTTGACATGCATGCAAATTTTCGCGGCGATCGGCTGTGAAACGGCCGAGATCTTAGGGGGGAGTCAAATTGACCCCCCCCCCCCCCCCCCCCCCCTCAGTAAAAACCTGGTCTGAAATAGCCCAGTTAAAATAGGGTTGACCGTCACAAAATGTAAAAACGCCCCCAC